GCACAGTGCTATATACGTATCAGTTGTCTGATGTCCAACACGTCCGATCGTGAGAACGGTTACGATCAGATGACGATCGGTACCATCTTCCACTCCACATTCGAACAATCGGGTGTTCGAATTTCCGCGACGCGTAGTCACCTGTTGTTTGGATTTACATAGGGTCACCGCATCCCCTCCCTTATGTGGCCGCGACTTCTGCGATCGTAAAAATCACGATTGGAAAGCGAGCGCCCTGTAAACTGGCAGAGGGTGGAGGTTTGACGCCGAAAATGGCTAGAAAGATGAAGAATTTGAAGATTTTCGATGGCAGAATAGCAGTTGATAGTTAGGTGGGTGATTGCTCAGCTCTTTCGAAGCTAGGTCGAAATTTCAGATTTGTCTAAAAGCTTGACTCCATAATCACAAATATCACGCTGGTTTCGCTTGAAAACGTGTGGCAGCTGCGCCATGGGCTATCGCTATGTGATGTGGGTACATCTGTCAAAGTTGTCAGCAACGTTTGCAAACCCTTTGTGCAGACAATTCTAGACAAGCGTTGATTAAAATACGACTGTTCAAAGTCTTCCACTTATATGCCGAAGAAAAGCAAAGAAGGCGATACGATAAGGAATTGGTTTCACGAAGTTTTGCATGTTTGCCTCGACCACCACCGCTGTGGGCTTAATTTCATCCTCTTTAGCCAAGTCAAATCGTACTCGCAAATAAACTCTTTGCTTCTCCTTCATAGAACCTCAGAAAATTCCGTTCATATAATAAAAAGTACCCTACAGTTGTGTTGATTTTTGGAGAATGAGAGGATCTTTTTGAAATACAGGATTGGTCGCTCGACAGCAAATACATTGTCTCCTGTAGTATGGATCACTCTATCAGGCTATGGCATTTGGGAACTGATAAACTGCAGGAGCGTATACGTGATAGCATGACCACTTAAGGGTCAAGCTAATTTTCGGAAAGAATTAGCGGAGTAAGTAACCCTTTTTGAATTCTTTTTTAAGCTCTTCGTGAAGTTTCGGAAAAAAATTTCGGAATGCATTCAGTGTTTGTTTAAAGTTGGTTGTGTTATTATACTGTTGTGTTTGTTTTTCTGAAATTGTGTAGCTTTTTTAGCGATTGTCAGTCCGGAAGAACTATTCAAATACACTATCCTATAGCAATAAATACTGACCTGCACAATGATTACGTGGATTGCGTGCGATTTCTTGGGCACTACGTTGTCTCCAAAGTGCTGTTTGCGAAAGTTCCTCCATTACATGAAGGATTCATAGCTCAGTTCTCTTTAGGGCTCTGATATGTCGATGGTCGTGTTCAGATTTGGTTCATTTGGTGAAGAATTCTACAAGATTAGGCCGAAGCTGCAGGTTTGTATGCTTTGTCTTTGTTAGAATTTATTGAATTGGTTTGAATGTTTTCTTCCCTGTCTAGGTGGACACATCCGCTCTTCAACTCGTCCGGATGGATTTACCTGATTCAGACATATGGTTTATTAAGTTTGATATTGATCCTCTCAATAGGGTGAGATTGGTGCAAGTTTTCATTCTTTGCGTGAGTGCTAGATATACTTTTTCAGTGGATTGTAAGTGGCAATAAGATGGGTCAGCTGTGCATGTGGGATCTGACTGATGGTCTTCCAGCGGTCAATATGTAAGTGAAATTCACTTTTTTGTCCCAAGTTGCTTCTTCTGCCTTGCTTCTGTGCATGGTTTCAAATGAGCCGGTACATTGCGGAGCATGGTCCACTACGATGAACCTGTCCTCCTACAGAAAACAACAGGGTAGAATACTTGTCAAGACCGTGGGAGCGTACCTTTAGTAAAAGATTAACCTTCCGAAGAAGGTTCTAAGTATGACTAGTCTGAAATCTGCTATGCTGTTGATCCTTTGAAACACGTTGAAGACCACTTGTTTATGAAGCACCTATACATATTTATATATTTTTCAAAAAATGAATCATCATTAATTCTCCCAACAACTTACTGCGATGACACATAGCAGGCTCACCAGCATGATGAGTGCCCAACAGTTTAGAACATCAAAAATATGTCCAAATAAAATAAATAAAACTATGCTCTTCGCTTCGCAATCGTGGGCTAACTGTCGTGAACTTTACCCAGCCTCACCAAAATAATTGTCCACCAAGAGTAATTTCGCAGAAATATCAACATCCCAAAACGTAGCCCGATACGATCCGGCATAAACCTTGTATCGTTAGACCTAATGAAATTGCACCGAACTACCGAAAGACTCTCTAAAACGGGATTTAGATATCGAATCTCTGACCATGAACTGGTGAGACTGAGAATTGACTTGGTAATCCAGTATATAGACGCGTTTTCTAGATCTGCGTGATATGAATATCATCCAGCCACAAAGGAGCCGAGAAATCCCAATCACACACGCTAAGGGGCTGGTCTCCCTATATTACTCTTCTATAACGACACATTCTTAACGAGAGATAGGTTTCTGGCTAGATAGAAAGACGGTTTCAAAATTTGACGAAAGAATCAATTGTCATGTGTCCCTGACCGTATACGGTAGCGAAAGGAAATGTAGCAAAGAAATTGCACGGGAAGAGATGCTGTTTATGCAAAGCCGGGGCAAAGATTTAGTGGCTTATCGGCAGAAGAATGGAGTCTGCTGAGGATTAGCAGTAAGCGGGATGACTATTACAGTGACTCTCCGCGATTAGAGCGGATTCTTGAAGGCGAAGAGGTAGAGTTGCACGTTTTGGATGTCTAAAGTCGGTTAGACCATTTCTTTTATTGCAGATACCTTCGTACTGCAATACCGCTGGAATTTTGAATGGTCCAACTGCAAAGAAAGCAAAAAGACGTGGTCGAAGGCTCGGAAAGAAGCGCAATGACAGTGATTCAGGCAGTTCTGAGGACAGCGATATGAGGACTAACTAGAATAATGCTAATTTTCTTTATGATGTGTACATATTGTAACGTTGCATGTTCATAATGCACCATAACCTGCAAGTGGAAATCAGCGATGGGGTCCATCCAGTAAAAGCGGGTATTTGGTGCGATGTTCATTTCAAAATAATCCAGTTTTTTTTGTAAGAGAAGGTAACTTCGGGGTGGGTCTGAGAGGAGGGCAAAGAAGTTCACGTACATCGGAATCCTCTCCCTTGCAAAAATTGCAGTGCAGGCGACAGCAACTGTCGCACCACATGCCCCCCCCCTTAGTGGACGAGACCCCAGCGATGCTTTTTCGCAATATTCCGAGTGGGTTACTTTTACTACATAAATTTTTCATTCGACCTTGATCTCAGTATTCCTCGATTGATGAATAAAGGTTATTGTCATTAACACGCGGTATTCTTGAAAAGAGTTCCATTCTCCATACTATCTTAGCACCATTTTCTTTAGATTAGGCAATGCAGCTATATGATTTTTTCAGATGCCGCGAGAACCCACAATTTTGGAGTATGCGTTAGTAGGTATGTTCAAGTAGGGGCCACCATTGGTCAGGCTCAACATCATTCTTTTTATTTCAGTAACTACCGCATCTTCATATAATCGGCCTTCTTCAGAACTCAGGGTGAAATATTCAATAGATGGAGAGAACACGCAATCGACTGGTATTCCGATGACCGTTGCTGATTTTGCCAAAATGGTCGAAGTGAGCTCTTTTGTTCTTTCACATCGTTTAAGCTCTTATAGTAGTCCATCTGCCATAATCTGTATGCTTTTTTTTCAGGATCAAGAAGACATCGTTTCCTTTGTTAGGAGTCAAGAGCTTCTCTGGAAATAGAATTATTTGCCTTTTCTTTTAATCTTGACATTCTTTTTATCTTGGCTTGTCCATTGTTAACTGTTGTTTTCGGCCGCAGTTATCTCGAATGCTGAGTTACGGGCCAAAGACTCCGCCTCAGGCGAGGCTCACATTTCGCTCACCATGCATTTATATTTGCAGCATTCTTGTGATTGCGGCCTTCTTTCGTGTTGTTACGATTCCATTACGCGCTTCGTTTTCAGTGCTTCAATTTTCAGTTTATCCCAGTGATGCGGTTTTTTAACCCATACCGTTTCAAATTCCATCCCTTTTTCCTTACATGTGGAATTCGTACTGTTTTAGTGACTGACTTTCGTGATGTCATTTATATTTCGATATTCGCGTTTATGCTTTTGAACATATTTTGTTGAATTAAACAAAAAAACTTATAGAGTCAGCGATGACCACTGGTCAGAACGACTTCTACTATTCCAACAAATACGAAGATGACGAATACGAGTACAGACATGTTCATGTTACCAAGGAGGTCGCCAAGCTCATACCGAAAAATCGTCTCATGTCTGAAACAGAATGGCGAAGCCTTGGGATTCAACAGGTGAGGAGACATGATCCTGGAATAAATCATCTTTATCATCATTCTACCATCAAATGATTTCAGTCGCCAGGATGGGTCCACTATATGATCCATGGCCCCGAACGACATGTTCTACTGTTTCGTCGTCCGTTGCCAAATAAGAACAACGTCGCCGGTAAAAACGCAACGCAAGCGCAGGTAGTGTATTTAAACATTGGGGAAATGTTCTTGAATTCTATTTGCTCTTAAATTCGAATTTAAAATGTTCTTAAATTCTTATTGTTCTTCTTGTTGTCGGCTTTCAAAATGTCAATATGCTGGTATGTAGGTTGGGTGTGCGCTGACGTAATGGTTCCAAGTGAACCGGTGGTACTTGAAGCTGAAGTGATAGAAGTTTTGTATTTTTCATTACCTCTTCCCTCACTATTCACTTGCATCTCGCTTACATGCATCTCGCCTCTCATATATCGTCATTTTATTTGGTGTACAGCTTTCTGAATCTACCAATTACTTCGAGACGAGTTTTTGCTTCAAATAAATTTTATTCCCCTATAGTACCTTGCAGACACCATTTCACCTGATAAAGCTGTCGTTGATGCCGAGTGAACAGATGAGAATATAAGAAGTGCAATATCTAGCGACGCATCTTCACTGAAATAAACATACCAATCAAAAGAATGATGAGTCCCTTTGTTACCATTGCAACAACTGCTGCTGAAGAGAAATGCGCGCTCATTCCCCTGTGTACAGGATTACCGTAGTTGGCACCACTGAGACCACACTCAGGACGCCGACTACGCTCGCGCAGCTCGTTTGCAGCTTCCACACGGAAAGGATATGTGTCGACCTTGTGATCGCGGACGTGGTGCGCTACATTCTCATAGGGTAATCCTTTTTGTCAACTGTTGCACATGTTTCATTTTCGGGGCCTATTTTAATTCAGGGGGAGGATATATGGTGCAACAGTTCGCTCCGTCTGTAATAATTCCGTTTTTGTAGGGTAGTGGGAGCTACACGGTGTTTGTGTGGAAGTAAAAGTGAAATGGTTCATACACCTAGGAGTCGTACGGCGTAGAAGGGTTAAATTCGTGCAGGCAGCACCGATCTAAGCGGGCAGAACCCCTCGCCATCTTTTTCAGCACTTACTTCAATCTGCCGTTTAGGACAACACAATCGAAGCGCTTATTCCTGCTGATGCAAGGGAATAACTTTCCTTTCTCGTTGAGTGAGAACTCTTTGAGGAAGAAGCGTGAAAATAGTAGGTGGGCTCAGTGCAGTTCAAGTATTCATAAGGCTCATCCTCAACATTGTCGCAAGGCGACGGTTCGAAGCCAGGATTGTGTTACATTTTCTCTTTTACAAACGTTCAATGCTGCTAGTCAGATATTTGTGCGATTCTTGTTGGCCAAGTGACGTTTTTAAAGCAACACCCCAGCAAAAGTCGTGTCAAAGCAGCAGACGTCTTCGTGACAGGGGTACAATAGTCACGAATATCACAGATGTGCCGTTGTCGCGTTTCGTTAGTGTGCAACAATGGCGCTAGCGCTTTGCAAAGTGGACTTGCGGCGACTAAGGTTGACTATTAAATAAGTAGGATTATTGCTAATAACTCGCAATGACCGCGTACATCCCGTGGCACGCAGCGCAGCGACAAGCGGCTACTTCAAATATGCGCGGATTAATGGAGCCACGGAGCAAGAGTTCGTACAACTCGTCCGTCACCGCCCCTTCCTTATTTCAAGTAGAAAGAGAGGGATAGTTGTTCAAAAAGCTTAATCAACAGTTGCCTTCGCTTTTTTTAAGTCAACCAGCATCCGACAGTCTAACTATCGACCGGCTTGACACTCCACTTTTGGATGCCGTGAATGTTGGGCTTTAAAGGAGGATTTTACGATTAGAATGGAGGTCGAGGAAGAAGTAATTCACCTAGTTGAGTAACCCACGGACCTCCTGAGGGTGCGAACTGATGCGCAATTCGCATCGAAAAATTTGACCTCGGCGACCTATTATGCCTCAAAGTTGGCGGGTCTGGCGATCTCCGCCCACCGACCAGCTGATCACTCGCCGCAGATCTATACGTGGCGATTGATTAGATAGCTGAGAGAGCGTGATGTGGCGGAGAGGGCACAGTCGCATATCAGGGGGGGGGCCAAAAAAAAAGACATTTTGCCTATGTCGGACTTCGGCTCTTTTTTCTTCGCAGAGATTGCTGTCGTTGACGGGAGTTCCTCAGCAGAGTATTCCCTAAGTGTCCCTCTATTAGTGTACGCAGGCTCTCCTTCACTGCCCTCACCGTCTTCAGAATATGACGTCATCTGTCACCGTCGTCAGGCTCAAGGAGGTCTACCGTAAGAGCTTCAGCCTGAAGCTCTTACGCAATTTCGTGAATCGATTAATGTTGGATAGTTTTCTAGAGGCATTAGCTACCACTGTGCAAATCCCCTCGGAACTAGCTTTCCAGTAAGGGTCGTTATGGTACACGATCCTTCGAAGACCCCATTGAGATCGACCAGTGCACCATGTTTCCAGGGCTAATTCTTCTGATGCCGTCCACGTACGTGGCCACTATGAAGATTTTCTTATAGAATGGAATGCACTCTTTAATAATAAGTTGGAACCGTTCGGTCTGAGTTGAGTAAAATGTGCTTAAATCCATCTGGAAGTGGAGGCAAAATGTCTTTTTTTTTGGCCCCCCCTGTATATGCATCCCCCAATCAGGCAAGGAAGGAAGGGGTCCCATTTCTCGGGTTCTGGGCCGTTTCTCATGGTTCTTCCTTCTTTCGTGTACCACTCACCATCCCTGAGGTTAATTTGAAATGGGTTGCCTTCCCATCGTGAATTCGTCCCTTAACTTCGTAAATGGGTGAATACGGAGTTATACGAACGTAATTTGGAAAGCGTCGCATTGCGAAAAGGGATACAGAGGTGAACACCACGCATCTCACCACATGCCCGACGTGATCGTTGATTAAAAATCATGTTTGTTGATCGTCGTTAAGAAGTGATAAAGGCGGATTCAATGATTAGAGGACGACTTACTGGAAATTAGGTTAGAGATGGTCAATGATACACGAGAGAAGAAAAAACCGACAAAAGGTCAGAACCTCGAGAAATGGGACCCCTTCTGTACACGTTGATTTCGCATTTGATAGGTCCTCCCTCTTTAACGCTGAAGCTCTCTCTCTTTCTTGAGCGGCTAGAGGCTCAGACGCGATACGACGCGAGAGGAGGGTGTACCGCGACAATACCGCGCCAATTGCGCCGTGGGGAAGGCCATGCTAGATTGCCGGAGGCATATCCTTCGATGCGAATTGCGTGTTGGTCCGCATCTTTAGAGGTCCGCCTGTTTCCTTACTGGGTGGACTTTCCCTTCTTCGACTTCGCCTTTGTCGTAGAATCCTTCTTTCACAAATACAGCAGCTTGTTCTAGCGCTGAGATATTAGCGGCCTTCTCCAAGCGGTCCTGCCAAACGGTATCCTACTCTTGCTGTGCTGGATGCTTCTCCAGGTACAAGGGCATGACTCCTATTCTGTTTTTTTTGGTACATCGAATACCTTCAAGAAATTTCGTAATCAGGGCCATCAGAATCCCTTACAAGTAAGCCTTCACCAGGCATCATTATACCAACCTTAATCGCTCACGATTTCTTGGACAATTCTCGAAGCAGTTTTGCTTTTTGTAACCACCATTACAAACTCTATCGATTAACGTGGTCTCAACTTCAGAAATGCTTGGGAATTTGAAACACCTTCGTGGTAAAATGTTCAGGGGAAAGGAAACCTGGATAAGTGTAGCTGAAATCTCGCAGTATGTGGGTGGTGGGCAAGGATACATCAGTCTAAGCCAAAATTCCCGAGTGGTGAAGGCTATAGTGAGCAGTGAAGATGGCATTCTAGCAAAGCTAGTCGAAGTTCAAACGTAGTTGGGAGAAATACTTCGGCCAACTTTCAGGCACTGAAAAGAATCTCTCCGCAAAGGCAGCCATCAAATAGAGACAACAACTGGTCCAATCATCCTCTGGATAGGGGGCGAGAAATAGCAAAGATTAAGGTAAGGTGGTTGGTCCAATTGTGCATACCATGACGCTGTGCGAACATTCAGCTGGCTCAGCTGAGGAAAGTGGCGCTGACCTAACGGGAGCCGTTCGGCTCTTGCCTAAAGATACAGTCGATATCCGAAAGTTGGGGTAGGCGTGTCACCGGAAGTGACGTGCACTTGATAGAAGTTGCGTGGATAAGCTGTTGCCAGCATGCTTTGCTGATATCCAGCGATGTATGTTGGAAGCAGCTTATCCACATAGCTTCTATCAAGTGCACGTCACTTCCGGTGACACGCCTACCCCAACTCTCGATATCGAGTATAAGAATAAATTCCGGCTAGATGTATGGCGACTCACCAACATATCAAATCGCTAGAGAACTATAATTCATCCGATGAAGTAAGATCAAGAAAAGTCCACCTAAAGATCAGCACTTCCACGAATAAAATACCACACGCGCACTCGACGAATGTAGATACAGGGGTGCAAAAAAAGAGACACATAAAGGCGCACATCAAGAAATTTTCGTCGATACAGGAGCAATCACGGTGAAATATTCCTAAGGTGCTCCCCCGTAAACAGAAGCAGGCCCTCCTTCACTGTCCCCTGCCGTCTTCAGAATATGACGTCATCTGCCGCCACCGTCGAGCTCAACGAGGCTTACCGTAATCGCTCCGGCCTGAAGCTGCTACACATAATTTCTCCAAGTGGATTAACTGTTGAATAGCTTCCCAGAGACATTAGCTGTGACTAGGCATAACCGCTTTGAAGAAGCCAATTTCAGTGGATCAGTGCAACGGTCCATGGGACCATCGACCGACGCACGTCGGAGGCTTCGTATAGGAACATCCTGTTCTCCCCGTGGAAAATTCATTCTGAGATGTCTTCGTCTGTAAACGCCTGTTCATGCAAGGTTTGAACTAGATAAGCAAGCGGCCCTCCAATACAGAATGCAGGGCGGTCGATTAGATTTAAGCAAAGTGTGGTTAATGCTGTCATTGAATGTGGAGTTAAGTGCCTCTTTTTTTTTTTGGCCACCCTGTATATCGCGCGTACGGTGACCAGGCGATATCTTTTAACCATGCCAGTAATAGTTTTCTATGAGACATTAATCCGTTTGACCAACGCGTACTGCCAAATGTAGGGCGTTCAAAAAAACGGAATTTCACCAGTTACTGGTTTCTCGAGTGGACTATGAACAATATAAGACGGCCTTTCGCTGTATGTAACGTATGCCATGCAGGGAAGATTCACGAATATCGCATTTTGAAATTTTGAGGATCGAGCTCTCTTCCCTGTGCTTTGCGTTTGCTTGATATTTACTGCAAAGGAAACCATCGGAAGGATGCACCATGTGGAAGCGTCCTTCTACGTAGTAGCGGCAAGAAATGTAGACGACAATATGGTCTTCGGCAGTAGACGACTAAATTGTAATTCCTGAGTTCGAAGTGATGTACAGAACCTTCTCGGTGCATGTTGTTATTTTCTTTGAAGCTCCTCACGAGGTTGGCAAAGTAACTTTTATTGGGCTTACGTTTCGGCGAGGATCGCCTTCTTCAGAGCCTGAAAGAGTCGAATCAATTTATGACTACCCGATCAAGTGCCCCAGCAACCCTACTGAAGTTCGAGACCAAAACAACTCATCACGCAAATAAAATCCAAAGGTGGGCCACCTACCACTGTAATACAGTCCAGTCTGTCGGACCACATAGAAGCCGCAGTGAGCGATCGGCACAGGTTTGACGCCAAAAAAAGACATATAACTCAGGCCGAAACGTAGACCCAATAAAAAGTTACTTTTGCACAACACGCGAGTGAGAAGCTTCAAAGAAAATAACAACGCTACGCTCAACTCCCGAAGCCCAACACATGCGCAGGTTCATTCAAATCCGTGCGTCGAGAAGACCTTTGGTGGCAATGGAAATACCAACGAAAGCCATCGAGAGTAAGTGGCTCAGCGCAAAAAGTGTCTGATTAAAAGCACCCCTTTGCGATCTCCGGGTGTAGCAGAAAGGTCAAAGTGTCCCGGAGAGTGGTAGAGCCAACAAGCCTCGGCAACGACCTCTAAGCAGAATCGTGAAAGTCAGTTTCTTTGCAGAAGCGAGGATAGAGAAATAAATCAGTGGCACGAGGCTATAGCAGAAAGTCAGAAACGAGGACGTCAATGT